AGGAGATTGTACAGAAAAGATCTTTGTCATTGCAGCCCCAGCAATATTGATATATTTAGTGAAGTTATGTTTTACAAAAAAAAAATCCTTTTTTATACTGGTGTTTTGCTAATGAGAGCTCCATTTTCTCAAAAGACTGGGTTTAAATCTCTTGGGGATAATCAGAAAAAGGAACAGATGTTAACTGTGTTGCATAATATGTTCCTGGAGATAACTGTGCTGTGTGACACTCCAGGTCTGATGCAAGTTGCAGAAGAACTTACAAAGAGCAGATGATGCTGTATGAGCTTCTGGAAATTTTAGCTTTATTATTCTGTTCATTCATTTAGTCACTCTTGCCAAATCTCACATTGGGTAATTACACCTGTCTAGGGGACAAGGAAAAAAGGCTAAAGGGCTTCCACTGTCTCCTGTAACCTCATTTTGCTTCATTTTCCAAAGTGTAGAATGGTTTTCTTTTGAAAAGAATGACATAATGGGAGTGTGGAGAGCACAAACAGCACAGGGAAGCGATGGCACAGCCCCTGCTCACCTGTGCTTTGCATGTGTCTTCCCTCAATTTTCCCCAATCACCAGTTTTCCATCTAAGTGTGATTACAGGCTACAATGGAAAGCCACACTGGAATGGCACAGTTCTCTCGTTTTCCTCAGTCTTCAGCACCATCACATGTTAAGAAAAGAAAATCCTATTTTCAGTTTCTTTGAAGGTGACTGTGGCCTTTGAACACAGTTGGGCAACTTTGCCACTGCCACATGTGCTATGATGTCTGTTCCCTGGTTGCTCTCAGAAATCCTTGGGAAAAGCCTCCAGCTTGGCCTGTGGGTTTTTAAAAATACTAATCCAACACTCTACTACTAAGTGTTTAATTATTAGGATTGTGAAATACACCACCACCTAAGACATTAATAGAAGGAACTACTTACAACCCTCTCAGCATGTGCTTTCTTTCCCCTTCATTTATAAAATCTCTTGCCATTTATTTGTCCTTTCAACCACTTCTTGTAATTCCTTAATCAGGACAAATGGATCCTTCAGAAGGGAGAAAATGACCCCAAACTGGCACAGAAAGATTTGATTAAAACTTATACTCCTTCTGTGGCAGCCCAAAGATCCCAGGGGATCCCATTGCTCAGCAGAGGAGAGGAAATAGCAGCCAGGGAAAAGCTTTCTGAGAAAAAAAGGCTTTATGGCTGAGTGCTGCCAACCCCTCTGTGCAGGACCAACCTCTGATCAGTGTCTCTTGTCTCCTTTCAAACTCAGTGTCAGAAGTTTGGTTCCGATGTGATTAATTTCCCCTTTACTGATTGTGTGTCATTTACTTTTAAGTAAGATCTTTATAAATGAGGCAAAACAAAGACAGAGATGAAGATTGTGCGGAGATAAACATTTGTGCTGCTGGGACTCCCACTGACTTGGGCTCAGCAGGGGTCAGAAGTAATGGGGATTCACAGGCAGCTGATTAGACCTCTCCCTGTGAACAGGTAATTGAAACACTACAGCCCATCACCAGCAGTTAGGAAACAGCAAGGCATGGAGGGACTTGGCTTAAAGCAGAGCCTGAACAAACCAGAGGCTTCACACACTCTCTGCCATTAGGAAGGAGCAAAGCATGAGCTGAGGCCATGGATAACACTCAGCTGTGTTTGCACAGAGCACTGACACCAGCTCTGCCACTGCCCTCAGCACTGGCTGCTCCTGCTGATTCTCTGGGCTGTCTGCCTGGCTAGGGGGGCCACCAAGCAGAAGGACCTTGGAAAAAAATGTGGCAACTTGCCTGGACTAAAGTTTGTATCCCTCAGCTCAGGTTTGCTGAGAGGCACAGGTGGAGAAAGGGTATGTGTCCAGCAGGGATGTCACCTCCACCTCCATGTGAACCTTGGCAAGCTCTTTCAGTGACTGGGAGTCTGATGGGTCACTGCCAGCCCCAGAAAACAGGGAAACAGCAGCTCTGAGTCCCAAACCTGCTTGGGATATCATCATAATATTCAGCACAAGTAAACCTGCTGCCTCTAACACTCACCTTAGCCTGTCTCCAGCTACAGAACTCACATGCTCAAGAGCTTCCTACTATGGTGTGTTTAAAAGTGTGGCTGATGGAAATGTGTGATGCAGAGAAGAAATGCACGGATTTATGCCTCATTTTCACTTCTTAGCAATAATTATATCTCACAAAAACCCTATAAATAAACCTTTTCGATTGTAGTCATATGGTGGTAGAGGTTTACCTCAATCAGCCCAGTCCTCCCTTCTGCCAAACTCTTCTGAAAAGACAATGGGAGATTAAAAAGCTAATTTAGGTTTCCTTCACTCCCATTTGAGAAGAAATGTCAACTCAAACCTTGTGCACAGATGGAGAAAGAAGTAATTGTCATCTGGAGCTGAGACACATACCTACAACCTAGACATATTTCTGGAGTTTTGCAGTTGTCCAGACGTGTGTTGGCAGCAGGATTCTGCTTTTAGCAGTCTGAGTGGGTATTTGGGTGTTTGTAGCCTCCTTTGTCATTCCTACATAACTACTCATTGCTGTTAGAAGGCCTGTGGTAATGTTTAAATATTAGAACAGTCACTCTAATTAACTGAACACCTCATTATGCACTGATGTGGTATATACAGTGAGCAGAGCTAGACAAAAAGATCAACAAACAACATGATCAAGTGTCAAATCACCAAATTAGTGACTGCAAATGCTTAGTGAGAAAAAATAGGAAGATTTTTTTTTTGTCCAGGTAACTACGTAAGTGACAAGGCTTGTCAGGAATTATGAACATAATGATACTTCAGTGATTACAGGGACAAAAGAGGATTCCAAAAATCTAGATGCATTCTGCAAGTCTCTTTTTGATTACAGGAGCTGACTTATTATTTCTCTGCATCAGTCCCTTATCTGTAAAATGAAGGTTTTCATTATTTGCTGCTTCTATCACTGTTTGCTCCATGACTGTATATACTAAGGAATTTGCAGTGGTTTGCTATGATCACAGCAGAGTGCATATTCCACAGGTCTGGTCAAAAGAGATGGTGTAAAAGCAGCTGAAAAGGTCAACTTTGGTGGTGAAAGGCAAGATACATGTGGGCCACAATTGCTAAGTGCTATTCCTTAGTTTGCTGCATCTCTCTGTGTGACTGTGGTCAACCAAGCAGCTGTTTCAGCCTATATTTCTGCTCTTTAAACTGTAAATACTACATTTTACTTCATTGTGTTGCTGGGGAGGCATATTAGCTTGGTGTGTGCAGGTCTTTTAAATCCTTGAAGACACTGAAATAATGAATGTTACTACCTGTAGGAGCACATTTTATATGATAGCAGAACCTCCAGTGAAGCTTTTGCCATACAGAAGTTTCTCACTAAAACAGTTCTTTCTTTGCCATGCAAGAGAGAGAGAATTTTCTCTGGCATTAGCACCAGTTTACATGGACAATAAACACACAGAACACGTTCATTACTATTTTTAATCTTGCACAATTTTCAGAAGAAATAGCAAAACACAACCTAACTCTACTCTTACCAATATGGTTATCATTTGCAATACAAATATCACCTCAGTTACTAGCAGTGCTGCTAAATCCCAATATGGTTATCATTTGCAATACAAACATCACCTCAGTTATTAGCAGTGCTGCTAAATAACAGGCCTGGCCTGAACTGGAATTATAGATTAAGAACAGTTTTTCAGGAGTGATTTATTGTGGAAGCAGGTCTTGCTGTTGGCATTTAGGAAAATGTAGCTGCCTGCCACTCAGCCAGATTCTTTTATCAAACTTGACTGAAGTTTTCAGCCTGGAATTATTAGTCAATAATATCCGAGAAAAAGCATAATTTATTGTTTGAGTAAACTGTGAAACAGAAAAACAGAGCCTTAGCTGCCAGACTTAGTGCTTGTCTTAGGCAAAACATTCTTCTTTGAGCACAGAATCGTAGTAGGACAGAAATAAGAGTTGTGACTAATTCCAGCACTTACTGCATGTAAAACTCACCTAATGGCAGAATCTATTCTATTCTTCCCTCATTCCTGTACTGGAACATCAACAGTCATCGTGCCAAAGCCAAGCACAGGTCAACTGTACTCACTCAGCCTACTGGAACATCAACAGTCATCGTGCCATAGCCAAGCACAGGTCAACTGTACGCACTCGGCTGTGCCCAAACCTCAAAGTCTAACAGTAACACATCTGTGGTTTCTTAATGGGGAAACTTGATACTGTCCTTTCTTTATCATTCCACCTGTTTCATCAAAGGTGCTTGAGGAAACCCACGGATTTCCTCCTCACAGCAACTAATTTAGAGCAGGTAGTTATTTCATTGCAAGGAATAACCATACCTTGCATGCCAACAATTTCTTAGGGTTTGATTTCCACCAGTGCCATCACACCCACTGCCAGCAGATGCCAGCACAGCACACGAGCACCAGCAGTGCCTCTTTGGATGGACAGTGTGTGCTGATACAGCCACACCAGGGTAGAGGTTCTCTTCGAAGTTTCAGTGTCATATAGAAATAAACGATCTGATCACCAAGTCAGATCCACACAGCGCTGTACTAAAGCTAATCTTGGATTTAAAGACACCACTTGCTGGAGAAAGGGCTCTATCACTGCTCTAGCAGGCAATTGCCTTCTCTGTCCAAAACTGGCTTATTTTCATATGGAACTTTGACTGGAATTTCAAGCCTAGTAGATCTGGGGTTTTTCCTTTGCATACTAAATTGAAGATCCTTAATATCAGTTCTTCTGTTTGTGGAGGTCTGCACAAACATGCCAAAATCCCTCCATCACCTCTGCAGAGTAGAGTAGACCCTCCGGACATGTCACACTCTTGGCTGCTCACACACAAACAGTGCAGGCAGGAAGAATAAAAGGCAGATATTTCTGGTGCACTCACACTGCAATATTTTCGAGTACAGATGGTTCTTTTTCCCTGAAATTGCCAGTGCTCCTGCCAGAAGCCTTTGGAACACCATAAAGTAGTCACAGCCTCCTGAAATTAATTGAATGATGGAGATCACTTCTGACAGATTTCTTCCAGAGCAGAAAACTTTGGTCCCAGAGTGTTCAAAAAATCGACAGGCAAGTCCTCACTGTCACTGGGGACAGAGCAGGGGGAGTTACTTCGCTCTTGTTTTCCTTCCTCAGTGTATCTGTGAGGGTCATAGTTTTCCCCATAATCATCCAGTGTGTTTTGGTCATACAGTTTCTAAAGAAGGGAAGAGAAAGGCAAGTTATCAAGGAAGCTCCTACAGCCCTTTTGAAAATAAAAGGAATTCATAGCATGCAAATGAGGCAGTTAATCCAGGAAGTTTTAGTGTTTCTCTGATAAGGAAAAGCTTTACTGACACTCTCAGCTGCATAAGCTCCGGAGCCTGAACTTCCCCCAGAGTAAAAATGAGGCAGTAAAGGGCATTTGATCTGCCCTCGAGCAGAGAGCTGCCAAGTGAACCTGAGTGCATGGAGGCATTGCAGTCTGGCCAAGGAGGCACAAAGGACAGGCCTGTGAATTTCTCATAGCACAGAAGTGCAAGAGCAGGTGACCAAACTTGAACCCTGCACAGCCACAGGAAGCATTTTAGCCTCACTTCCTCATCCTGAAGAACTTTTAAAGGTGGCAGACCCCAGCCCTGCAGTAACTGCTGCCACCCAGCCAGAAGTCTAGGAGACAATGTACTTTCAACAACGAAGAGTCTTGAATGTTTCCCTCATTAAATACATCCCTTGTTTTGATGGTAATGCTGCTGAGATGTGAGCTGAGAGAGCAGCTGGAGCCAGAGCAGTTGTCCAGCTTTGCAAGCCTTTTCTCTTGTGCTTACAAGCCAACTTGACAAAGGAGTTATTCAACATGCATTGCTTACCTGTCCCAGTATTTCGTCCACTGTCTGTATGAAATGATCAAGGGGTCTTGGTTGGAATGGCTTGTAACTAGGGAAAGGGAGATTCTGGAAGACAGACACAGGAGCTCAGGTTTGACCAGCATCAAGTCACCTCCAAACATTTTTTTTCAGATACAAATGACTCCAATTATCTTTCTCTTTGTTACATCCATTTCCCTTGTGTTGTTTTCTCCAGTTTCATTGCAGCTTATTCTGTTCAGGAACTGTTTCTCCTTGTGAGTACATTCTTCATGCATATAGGGAGTCACCAACTGTTTGCATGCTCCTTGTGAGTACATTCTTCATGCATACAGGGAGTCACCAACTGTTTGCATTCATCATCTTCAGTAATTAAATCTGTTTCTTCCTCTAAATTTATAGTTTCTTTTTCACTAATGGCACCAAACATGACCTCTGAACTTTGCAATGTTTGCTCATATGGGCAATCCAGCCCCTGTGATTTTAAGGATTGTGAAACTGGATTTTCACATGTATAAAAAGGACTATTTTACATTTTCCTTGCCTGCTGTAAGACAGAGATTTTTCTAAGAGTCTCTTGGTGATTCCTACATCCTTATGTACAAAACACATGGCAATCACCTACTGATGTAGACCAGAATTTCCTCCAGGCATTCTTTACAATAAAAATAGACATCTGGTAGGGAATACAGCACAAAAATCCACTGAGCAAACTGAAAAGTCTTCAAACCCCAGAAGTACATCTTACACTCATAAAAACACTCATAAATCCTGGCCACACTTTTACAGTGTGTTAAGTAGAAGTTGTTGACCAACATGTTTGGTATCTGAAGATGAAGATTCTATTTCACTTATGCCATGAACTGAATAAAATCTTGTACCTACCAGTTCAGGTATGGTGATAAGCATTTTGGAAGAAATTACACTTCCAAACACATACGAAATATTTAAACCAATAACTAATGAAAAGAAGTGCCAGCCTCAAACAGAAAGAGCATTTTAAATACAAGTGGAATCTCCAACAAGTGACCTTTATTTTCTAATTTAACTATACTCCCTTATTCTTGCCATTGTTATTAATACCAGACTTCACTCTTGGGATACCAATTTCTGTGGCATAAAAAAGAGCATTTACATCAGGAATCAGGCAGTTACCTCAGCAATCACACACACAGGTGGTGGAGCAGGATGAAATGCCATATCCATCTTAGCCTGCATACAGGGAGAGGGATGGTGTTAATAAGGAACTAGGCTGTGAAGGATCACAACTTTGCAGACTATTTTATTTCTCACTTTCATTTACTTTCTTGTTGAACACACTAGTATGTGTTTGTGGTGGTGTGACAGGAGATGTTGTGCCTGTTGGATTTACCAGTAGAATGAGGCACTTGGGAAGGTCCTGCTGATACTGAAAAGTGGTAGGAGTGGGAATAGTCTGTCACCAGAGTATCATTACCCAGTCCATGCAGAACACCACTCCCCAGATACTCTTACTGGCAAAAAAAAAAAAAAGCTTTATTTTGTTCAATACCAAAACCAGAGGAAACTTCATTAAAGAGATGATTAGTAGCAGATTCAGCCACACAACACTGGGGGGTAATGTGAAAATGTACTTTCACACTTACCTCAGAAAAAGACTCTTCATTATAACTGATTAAAGTCTGTTCACCTTCCTGAGATGAAAGAATGGCTGGTTTTGCAAATCTTGACCGGTGACAGCGGAAAAGTACAAGGCTGGACACTGTAAGCAAGGAAGGGAAAGGTAAAATGGGCATTGTGAAGAGATGGGTGTGATGAGATGGGCACACAGTGGGCTGGTGAGCCCAGTGCCAAATGAGCTTGCTCAGGAACCTCCAGCAATGCAGCTCTGCAGATGGAACTCTTGGCTGGAGTGGTGAACCTGCTTTAGACAGACAAGCTGCTGTCTGCACTGAGCACTCTTTGAGTAGACAGCACAGATCACACACAGCTAACCAGAGAAACAGTGCTCAGATAGTCTATTAATTTTTCTTCAGATAAAGCATCAGTAGTTCATCTCTTCAGAGTTAATCAACCTGAGCTGTTACAGAGGATCTAGAACTTGCTCTAGAACAAGTGCAACCCCCACTGGAGAAACTCATTACTTCCAGTTTGCCAGGAAAAATGCCCAAAAAAGGCAAGTATTCAGTTTCATTCAATGCAAACAAGAATATGTACTATGTTGTACAGCTTAACAACAATTTACACTTGCCAGTTATTATCTAGACACAATATCATCATGATTTTAGTAGATTTGAGTTCATGAGCTGCAATTGCAATGAGAACCAATGGGCAGATGACAGACAACTGCACACATCAGCCAGGAGGTACTTACCCAGTAGTAATAAGAAAACCATCAGTATTATTGCAATAGCACCAAGTCCAAGTCCTGCTGCTGTTTGTAGAAGTGGTGAATATTGACATGTAACTCCATCTGGGCAAAAGCAGAGCCTAATGTGCTGGTTCTGCCTCGTAGAAAATCCTTGTCCATCCTGAATAATGATGGGCACAAAGTAGCTGCCTTGTGGGAGGTTTCTTGACATCAAAAATTCAACTGACTGCCCTAAAAAGAAAACAAACTAATTTTTTCAAGAGACTCACAGAAAGAATTCTGATATTCTACAGACCCTTCTGTTGATAATCTAAGGGAAACTCATTTGCACCCCAATTTCAAATACTTTTTCCAGACTTAATGGACCATAAATAGGACAAGATTACACCCCAATTTTTCACCTCACTGAGGCTTCTGGGCAGAGATCTGTCCCAGCCTTGATGCCCTGATAACTTCTAGAATTCATTAGGTGGTTAATCAAATTAAGAAGTGGTTCCTCAGCTGCCTTATCTCACTTATCCCACATTGCTCTTGGTTCTGTCCTCCACAGGGAGGCAGAGCAATGTAACTTTTCTTCAAACCATAGTAACTTCATATTTTGAAAGCTGTGCTTCCATGTCATTTCAGTCTCATTGAGACTAACTAGCAACAAACCATAAAGGTAAGAGATAGTGAAATAACTAGAGGCCACACAACTGACAATAAACTTCTCATGAAGGACATCAAGGCAAGAACTCACCAAAGTTCCTTCCTAATGTCCAGCTATGCTGCACATCTTCAGAGTCCTCAGCCAGCTCAAATGTAAATGGCCCAGAATGTGAATGGACCAGAGGAGACTTAGCTTGTATAATGAGAGATGTCCCTTCATTTTTGTCACACACGTCAAGAGAAGGAGCCACTAACGATGGCATATGATCATTAATGTCAGACAAGTAAAGCAGGATGGTGCCAGTACCAGTCTGTGCTGAATTGCCTGGATAGGAGCAAAAGAAACACAAAACCACTCACAACTGAGTATTCACAAAAAGCCAATCCATGGGCAGGATCTGTCTGCTCTATCCTACTCGTTACACATAGCACAAGTTTCAAACATTAGAGTGTTCTATCATCCATTAACCACTTAGATCCTTAGCCTTGCTATCATTTTCTATTAGCATGCTCCTGATTTCAGTCAAAATGCTGCTTGACTTTTCTGACTGGCTGCTTACCATGACCAGTGGCATGCACAATAATAGTGTACAGGCTGTTGTTCACAAAAGGGGATTCATGATCAAATTCCTTTGCCACAGTAAGAACTCCAGAATCCTCATCCACACTCAGCCACCCATCTGGGTCATGGGCTAGTTCATACCTCAACAAGAAAGGGAAAAATTACAAGTTATTCTTTTAAATGAAATTTGGAGAAAAGAAAATGTCAGCTGCATCTTTTTTGTTCCATAGGTATTTTGACTTGTCAGTTACTATTACTTTTGTTAACTCTAGGGCAAGCTGTGTGTTTCAACACAGCCAACAAACAGTTCCCCATACAAGTCCCCATACCTTGTACAGGACCATCAAAACTTGCTAGGGACTGAGGAAGTATCTAATTTCCACATCAGATTACCATTCTTACAGCCAAGCACACCTTAGCCCTTTCTAAGGCTATTTCTCATTCTGAGAGTTAGAACATATCCACTTACTTTATGTTATCTGGCACATCATCTGGATATGTGGCAAGATACCTTCTAAATACCCTCCCAGGCACCATTGAATCTTCTTTTTGGACAGTGAGTATAGGAGGATGAAAGCTAGGAACATGTTGTGACTGTAAGACCTTGATGTTCACAGTTGTCTTTGTGGATTCTAGGCTGGAGATCATTGTAATGCCATCTTTACAAAAGAAGAAAGGTTCTTCATTTGCTACAGAAATGACAAGTCTCACCTCAGAGTCATCTTCATAGCTGAGAGGCTGAAAAACCCAGACAAAAGTGTGATTAGCAGTTATGGCCTTTTGTTTGGCAGTCACTTCTGTATACACTGAACTCAGAGGTGAGCTGAGCTCACCTGACTCAGCTAAGACACTAAGTTATTGGTCTTGTAATCACACTGGCCACACCACACATCACCAGGCTGTGGCTCATGAGGATGAGCTCATTTATTACTGTTCCTTACCCTGATAATACTCAAAATGCCTTCATTTGTGTCTGGATCTGTCTCAATGGTGAACTGTTCCTTCTCATTGCCTTTTGTTATGGTGTATTTTGCTCTCCAAGCTGAAGTGTTGGGGGAGTCTTTATCTTCCACTTGGAGCCTGAATACAGCTGCATGTTCTTGACCTGCTGAAACCTGTAGCTGGTACTGGCAGAGGAAAGGAAAGAAATCAGGATTATATCTATTCTCCAAGAGAAAGAAGCTTGTTAGCCAGTTCTGAGCCAGAGTTCTACCCCCAAACCATGTGGATCTACTTTCTGCACACTGCCATAGTCTGTGGTGGTTCATGTGTCCCCACTCAGTGACAGAAAACCCCTGTGGGAGTTACAGAGCTACATTTCCACTGATTTCATAAAGAGCTTATCACTAAACCTGATCTTCATCTCAAACCAAGGACTACTCATCTCTCCTAATCTTGCTGTAGCAATAGGCCCATAAATGCCACTACAGCTTTTCACCCAGGATTATCTTCTGCCACGCAGTAGGGATTGGTGCACACAGGCAGGTAGGAGACCTACCATGGCAACTCACTGGTGAATGTGTTTGCTTTTGTGTGTGACTTTGCACACTCAGTTGTAATCCAGTATCTATTCTTCCTGTTTACAAATATTACAGACATGACTCTGCACTCTGGGTGCATGTGCTGGTTTTAGCTGGGATAGTTAATTTAGGGTAGATAGTAGATTGTACAATAAAGAGTAGATTTTAGTCATAGAATCATAGAATGGTTTGGGTTGAAAGGCACTTAAAAGAGCATCTTGTTCAAACTCCCTGCCACAGGCAGGGACACCTTCCACTAGAGCAGGTTGCTCCAAGCCCCATCCAACCTGGCCTTGAACATTTCCTGGGATGGGGCAGGCACATCTTCTCTGGGCAATCAGCACCTTGTCTCCCTAGATGCTGGAATAAGCTAGTCTGTGAGCTTCCTTATGGTGACAGTGAAACAAAAACATTCTGGTGCTGTACACAGAAAACAGACAAAGTTTGTCACTGTCCATATTTTAAGATATATTTCTTCTGACACATATATGTCATTCACACGTGTTTTGGTCTGATTCTCCAAGTTTCTGATGGTTTCCATTTCCTGAGTCCATTTAGTAGTTTGAAGGACTGAACTGTATTTTTAAGATATATTTCTTCTGACACATAAATGTCATTCACACATGTTTTGGTCTGATTCTACAAGTTTCTGATGGTTCCCATTTCCTGAGTCCATTTAGTGGCTTGAAGGACTGAACTGTACTTAGAAAGGCTCAGCAAAGTAATAATGTTTTCCCTTACATTATCACTAATAAATACAGGGAGGTAGTTGTTTGCATCTTCAACAGCTACGTTGACTGTTGCAGTAGATGACAGCTGGGGACTTCCGTGGTCACTGGCTTTAATCACAAGTTTGAAAGACTTGGCAGTCTGAAAAACAGAAACAAGGAAGATCCAATCTCAGTTCAGAAGCAGTTCCCACATTTTGCCAGTCACAGCTATGAAACTGGATAAGAGATTCCCCTTCCCCTTATACCTGGTAACTGCAGTGAATATGTATCATGCATTACATAATGGGAAGCTGCCAAATATGCATCACCTTATAATCCAGGCATCCTGACAGAAGTATTGATCCTGTGGTAGGATCAATATTAAATGTGAGTCCCCGTGGAACAGGCATTTGCATACTCATAGAATAGGACACCTGAGAATTCTCAGTGCCAATTTCATCTTTGTCCATGGCAGTGATTTGGAAAACTGGTTCATCTAGGATGAAGAATTGAGATATTAATACAAGTGTTGAGTCCTGACATGGAGTTTCCCAGGCCTGTCTGCAGGCTCTGAAACACACAAGTCCTAAGAAAACCTCTAACTTCTCCTGTGGCTATGGTTATCCCAGCAAAGTACCACACTCCTGAATTGGCTTTATCAAAAACATTTACTTCATTATGCCAACACCATGCCCACATGTCTACACACCCACACTAAAGATTTGTGTTTCTAAACAGTGTGTCTGACCATCTTCTGTGAAGCAAAGTGTGTTTGCAGGTTCCAGGTCCACAGTTCAGATCAGTCTGCTCAAGTCTTGGCTTGGAGTTGAGAAGAAATATCTTGGGAGTTTTTTCAGAATGTCTCAAACATTATGTTAATGTACACTGAGGTTAATTAGAAAAGAAGTCAAAATGTAGGAAAGAGTCTTTCCTGGGAAATAGTCCCTGAACTCAGGAGTGTTTAAGCAGAAGGTAGGAAGGAGAATACATTTAGCAAGAAAGGGATGATAATGATGAAGGAATTGAGATCAGTCACAGACAAATCAGGAGTATCCCTTGGTGGGATGGCAATTACCTTTATTGTGGTTCTCTCTTATTGTAATGTTATATTCTTCCTTGGCAAACTCAGGTGCATTGTCATTGATATCTTTAACCTTTATGTTGAAAAACAAAGGGTGGTCCACTCGTTCTCCAGTTTTTCTGCTCACAACATCAAAACGTATCTAAATGAGTAGCAACACAGGTATCAGAAAATCACATGGAAAACTACAATTTGGGCACAGTTAATCCTCGGAGACACTAATAGAACTCATCACAGAACAAACATAAGGAACCCAGAACTGAAGATTTTTTGCAAGAGGAAAACAAACCCACACTCACATATTTCATTCATACACTCATTATCACATTTCTTTCATTACACTTAGTGCTTATGAACACTCTTCTGCTTCTTAAGGAGAAACATATGCTTCCTCTTATGTAAAGTTACAGTAATAAAGCTTTGCAGCTCCTCCAGTATTATCTATTTTTTTTGCAATTCATAACTATTTGCTTCCATTCTCTTGAATTTTTAGGTTTACAACTCAGTGTTCCAGCCACTATAGCTGTGACCTGCTTTGAATTTCAGGACAACCTTTTAAGTTTCTAGATGATGATCAAGGGTTATACCAAAAAAAAAAGACAGAAAAGAAGTGAACGAATAATAGTTGCATGGATGGTTTTTGTCTCTGCTGAGCCAATCAACTTTGTATCTATTTATACGGTCAAGATAAGAAAAGTATGTAATGAAAAGACACACAACATCCTTATAGGTGTCTCTCATTGTTGTGAAGCATTTAGCCATGAGAAAGCATTTGACCAACTAACCTTTGGAAACAGTATGATGAATGCTTTCAGTGTGTTACCTGGAAAGTTGAGGTCTCTTCCCTGTCGATGCTGCGATGTACATAAACCTGTCCACGTGCATCATCTTCTAATGAAAACAATCCAATCTCTGGGTACTCATCCACCCCAGGGCCACTGATCAAATATCTTACCGAGGCATTAAATGATCTGTTATTGACCAGCTGTTGGAAAGAGAACAACAAGGCAGTGTGAGTAGGGAAGGTGGAACAGCATTACAAATATTTTAGATCAGTTCTCTTGCTGCCCAGCTTTTCTTGGCAGAGGGGTCCCTTGCTTGCAGGCTTGGTCTCAGCCAACCCAACAGCATTCTGGGCTGCAGCTCCACTTCTCTGCACAGTGTGCAGGTGCACTCCATAGTCTCCTTTCCCTTGTGTATCCCTGCAGCCTCCCAAGAGGAAGGAGCAGTATACACATCCCACCTCAGTTCTGCATAAATAAGACAACTTTGACCAAGTAAGTGTTTTTAAAAGTCGCTGTGTAACACACTGGTTTTGCCCTCTCCTCCCTGTGGTATTTATGGTACAACCTGTGGTGATGAACACCTAACTGAGGTTCAAGAATTTTTACTGAAATATTCTTGCTACCTGTCCAGCATATTTGGGGAATGGTCCTTTGTCCTCCTCTTGTACTTCAATGGTGGTGACGACCCAGGTCCTTTTGGTGCGCTGGAGGGGACGCAAACTGCCTGACTGATCAGCACCTCCTGACTGTTGGATAAAGTGCATTTAGTGCCATAGTTTGCACATTAGCTGTTGTGTATCTGCTATAACAAAATATTGACTACAAACCTGAACAGTCCTCCTTTGGATGGCTTGTCTTAAACTGAACTTTTCGATTCCATGAGAAAAGCTGTTGGCAGCAGTAACCTTGTGAGAAAAGACAAGTGATTGTGACAAGTGTGGTTAACTAGAAAACATTGATATGTTGTCTGGGAGGAATTTGGCTTCGGAGAAATTATTTGATCCAGTTTTGACACATTGTATTGAATTGTATCTAACCCTGGAAACTCCACAAATATCATCTACCTCATTCCAAATGAATGGCATGAGAGCTGGGAGACTAATTTCTCTGGTCAGGTGATGTCAGTACCAGAAACACAAGCACTGAGTCCAAGCAGATACCAGTCCATGGTATCACCCCCATGGCTTTTCTTAAAGCAAGTTATCTCCAATGTTAAGGTATTCCATCCCCTCTCTCTGTGTCTAGAGCTCCTTTAGAAGTTGTCTAGTATTGACAGGACATAAACCTACTTGTGGAAAAGAGAGTTAAGTTTGGGGAGTATTTCAGGGTTTCAGGGACTCTGGCAGGAGACTAAGTGTTCCAAACACAACTGATTTACCAGAAAGTAAACACTAGGCCAAAGTCTGTAACACAGATGAGTAAAATAAATCGTTGAGAATGGTGACTACACCCAAATTGACAGAATTAGCCCTTTTACAAGCACAAGCTTCCTGTATTGGCTTCCAACACTGCTTTTCACTGGAAATCTGACACCTTAAAGCACTATGACAGTGCTCAAATTACATCATTGCCATTAACTCACAGGTTACTTGTACACACTTCCATTTTAAATCTTGGGGTTTATGACTCATTCCATCAAATATGTCCAAAACCAGAACGAAGCTCTGTCTGCCCAGACACGGGCAAAGGTCAGACTTTATCCCATGACCTTTTTCTGAATAAACAATATACTTTCAAAATTGCCATGGCTATAAACCTGCTGAGCAATGGTTCACCAGTATTGCCTTAGACCTAGTCTGTACAGCTACACAGGGCAAACCTCTGGGATGTAAACACAGCAAGCAGGTCCTCAATTCAGCATTTGCAAATCATCTCTATCAGCTTTGCTTCAGCTTCAACTCTCCTAGAACACCTGAAAATGCTACTTTCCCCTTTGAGCATGTGCAGCCACTTTTAATCATTTGGGAATATTTAACTGGGTATTTTGTGGCTTCCCCACTCCTCTGTGCACACCTGCAAGGCAATGGCTCAGGGTACTACTGTGTCTGTTCCAGCCATGGTCACTGCTGGAAAGGAAAGCAGAGTCACCACTAGGCACCAGTGTGTCTGGGCAGGCATGAGCACTCCAGTATCCCTAGCAGGAGGAGCAGAGAGTCCCCAGCCCTGGAAACCCCTTCCCAGAGACCTGAGCCTAGGATCTAGAGCAGAGGAGACACCTGTCTCAGAGGCACTGCATGGGGACAGGACCACACAGAGTGGTTAGACCACTGGAGCCCACCTGGCCCAGCCTCCTTGCTAGCAGGTCCCCTCAAGCATGTTACTCATGATTTTTACAGATGGATTTTGAATATCTCCAGAGAAGGAGACTCCATCACCTCTATGGGCACCTGTTTTAGTGCTCAGCCACCCACACAGTAAAGTTCTTCTTCATGTTCAGGTGGAATATTCTGTGTTCCAGTTCCTGCCTGTTGCCTCCCATCCCACCTGGGAAGATCCTGGCTCCATCCTCCTCCATGCCCCCATGCAGCCAGACCCCCTGCCCACACCCCACACCCACCTGCAGGAGCAGCAGGATGCTGAGCAGCTCCATGGGGTCCCAGCAGAGCCCAGGAATGTCGTGCTGTGGGAGGTGGGAGCAGCCAGGGGCAGCAGAGCTGTGTCCGTGGGACGCTGTGCGATGGCTCCGTGCAGCTCAGAGCTTTCCCACCAGCAGTTACCTGCTTCCAGCCCTGTGAGCTGCCCTAAAGGACTGTGAGGATTTCTGCCTCATCAAAAAAACCCAAACTGCTGTTTATATAAAACTGAACTGGCTCAAAGCAAAGCTCAGTCCTCCTGTGGTGTTGGGTTTCTTCAGCCTGTTTGCACCTGCCACCACACACAATAAATAGGCCATGACTTGCAGTTTTATGGCCATTACATACCTGAAAGTAAACACGTGAACTGCTTTTACAGTTCCTTGGAAATGCTATTTCTTAATAACACCAAATTGTTTGCCAAAATAAACAAACACAGCTTGATATTCGATGGGAGCTGGTTTTATCTGCCATGACCTGTGCTGTTTTGCTGATTTTGTGTGACTTCAATCTTTGAACCAAGGGCAAGTTTAGCAGAAGCTTATTTGAAAGGTGATAGGGTGATACAAACAACACTGGACAGCCCTGTTCCACTGAAAAGGCATCACACATGGATGAACTTGTATACCTGAAGCTGAACTTCCCCCCATGGGTGTGGAAAGCAAGTTCTACATCAAACTACGTAAAGAAGCAGGAAAGTAAGATTGACTCTTGGCAGAGGATGGGGAAGGTCCTGACTCCTATGAAAACACCTCCTATAGCATCTTCCATTCTCCTGCACTGCTTTTACTGGGCACAAGGTTTATTCTGTTTAGAACTGGAAAAGAATTTGTGTTCTGGAAGCTGTGAAGGGAAGAACTGATCTCCTGTTCAGGTGAGAAGAAAAGCAATAGATCGTGTGAACTAGGCCATGATGTTTTAAGTAACTGTGAGCGTGGGGAAGAAGGCAGGAAAGGATCTCCTGGGACTCACTATTAACAGGAGAAAGTAACAGGCTGAAATAGCATTGCAGGATAGGATGATTTAGCTATCAGGAAAACCTCAAAGAGCAGGAAGGTCCTGATTGTAAAACTCTTGTGTGGTATCTCACAGAGGAGTTTTATAATGCTTAAGATTACAGAAATGGCAAAGCTAAGGGATATGTGGCAACAGGAAATGCTGTTTTTCTCCCTTCCAAACTCACTCCCTTCATTTTCCTCTCGATTAGTCTCAGCTGAACATATGAACATGCTGTGTATGAAATTAAGTTATACATAGCCATGTATATTAGCATGTAGTATATAATATAGTATATTCTCTGCAAGCAGCTCCACACATGTCTTTGCTGTTCTTTGGATCATGTTCCAACTATCCTGGAGATTGTAACAGAGAATGTGAAACTGCATTTAAAAAAGGTATGGATACACTGAAGGAAGTTTTTCCTGTTATTTTCACCTCTTATGATGCCTGAACACAGTCACGACAGACTTGACTGAGAGGTGGAGTAGAAATACTCATGTTTATGACTTCACTTGGCCATCAGCAGCAAGAGAATCATAGAATCATAGAATTTAAGGGTTGGAATGGACCTTACAGATCATCTAGTCCCAACCCCCTGCCCTGGGGGCTCAGGATGCTCAAGGCTCATCCAGCCTGGCCTTGAACACTGCCAGGGTTGGGGCAGCCACCACATCCCTGGGAAACCTGTTCCAATGTCTCACCACCCTTATGGTGGTGAGAGCTACAGTCTCCATCTGACACTGCAGCACAGGAGTTTTCCCGAAGAACAATCTCGAGATGCCATCTCGTGGGGGATGGAAAAAACACAACTCGGTAACAGGCAGGATCTCACTTTTAATGTAGCAAATATACAGTAACTTTGAATTACAAGATCACTTTCCAATGAAATTACTAGCAAAAATATCCACAAAGAGTTCAAATAAATAGGAATACATGATTACCAACATCAAAAGCTGATGCAAATCCTCAGTGAAATGAGTTCAGTCCTTCCAGAGTGGTCTGATTTTTCAGATGAAAAACCATTAATGCCAATGGGAGCAACAAAGGCTCAATACCTTTAAAATAAGGCAAAAAAATAGTACATTCTAGGCAATTTCATACTGTAGAAATTTCAACTATAATATTAGCTCCAAAAAGGTATCACATACTGACTGAAAAACTGTCAAAATTCTCTCAAACTTCTAACAAGATCCTTTAAATAGCAAATACAAGGTAAAAGTTGCCTCCAACAATAAATGAAACACAGAAAGGACACAAGCAGTAATGGGATTACAGCAGATTTCAGCAGTCTGGAGTCAAACAAGACAGTTTAATCCAATGAAATAAGCATATCCCTCCTGTGCAGCATTATCCCTCTCTCCCATCCCATGGGAAGGGCTCAGCAGCACAACCAGAGGGGCACTGGCAGGTACAGCTGGAGCTCCAGTCACAGCATCCTGGGAGAGCAGCATCCCTGGGGGCTGAGAGCTCCCTGCTCCTGCCAACCCCTCTGCTCTCTGCTCAGCTAGCTCAGAACAAATCCTGCTGAGCCTTTTTGCCTCTGTGAGCAGCATTGGCACCTCACAACTCTGAATCTGTACTGCAAACATAATCCAGCCCATCCTGCCAGGTTGAACAAGTGGCCAGCCCATCCTTTAGGATACTCAGACCAGCAGTAGGGATTGGTTTGAGTCTTCCTTGCCACTTAGGGATGATGTAAAGCCTATCCCCAGAAAGGTGTGTGTTGCTCACACCATGGTAAATAACCTCTTTTTGGAGCACATACTCTGAGTTACTGAGGAAGCTTACACAGGTTCTGCCAACAGGACAGGGAGCTGGAGGAGTTGTGCAGGAGCTTCAGAACTGCTGTGTCCAACTGAAACAAAGTGGGAGTGGGTGCAGAGGAGGTAAAACTTTAAGTGACCACAATATGAGGTGCAAGGAATGGAGAAAAAAAAGAAACATGTCAAGAGAAAACCAGTATTGCTTTACATTTCTTCATGTGATGCATTAAAAACACAGTTTAGCATTACTAAGGAAAAGAGTTTACAAATTCTGGAGTAAAACTCTGTTTCTTCACATCTTTGTAACAGGGTAATTTCATTGCAAACAACTGTGTTTTTCTGAGTTTCTACTAGTGTAACTGAAGTAGAATCTGGATGTTCATTTAAAATGCAACCTGAGCATGTCCTGTAGTTAACACTGCAGAACATTAAACCTTTACATTCTCTAGAAAAAAATAAATCACTCTGTTTGAATATCTCAATCACAGTAACTTGTTCTTCAAGCATCACCAATGCTAGGCTTAGACACACAGCTGATCATATTGCTAAACAGAGTCAAAAAAAGTGGTATAGCCACACAAACACTGAGCTGTGGATGTATTTTAGTTCATTAAACTGAATGTATTTGATGGGATAAACTTTCTGCTATATTCAGAAGTGCTTCTAAAGAGAATATCCATCAATACAAAATGAACATAAAACATCATCCTCTTCATAAAAGGAGCTCTTTGTATCTGTAGGCCCAGAATGGAAACAGGCTAAAATCCAACCCTTGCAGGTCTGCTGAGCCAAGAGCTGCTTGTTGAGGCAAACAAAAATTTATATTTCTGTATGTGAACAGACAACTGTGTAAGAAGTACCAAACCAATGAACAAAAATGGGAATGGTGTGATTATCATGTGAGACAAACTTGGCCAGATCACACACACAGCCTAATGATGGACAAGTATTCAGACTTGTTTAAAAAAACCACCCTTTTCTCAGTGCCAATCACCTTTGCTCTGGTCACAGCTGATTGAAACACTATTTATTCTTTAAGTGATCATGCAAGATGTGCTGTATCTACATGCCCTCCTTGTGACCCAGGAAAGCATCCCTATAGAGTAATATTTCAGAGCAAAATTTAGCATACAGTAATGTTCAGTGCTATAGCAACATGCTAAATGAATTACTGCATCTAACAGAATCTGTTTTAAAAACCTGCTACTCTGATTATTGCCTGCATCCTGCTCACCTCACTTCTGGTGCTTGTAACTGTGAACTGGAGCAGTGCACTAAAATCCTGATCATTGGCAAGAGCTGCTCTACCATGTTTCATTGGTGTTAATGTGAACACTGTGAACTGGAGCAGTGCACTAAAATTCTGATCATTGGCAAGAGCTGCTCTACTGTGTTTCATTGGTGTTAATGTGAATCAGGAAAACTTGACTAAAAGATTTGCAGAATTTGGCCAGAGCTTGAAATACTAACACTGGCTGCAGGAACCTTGCATCTATAAAACATGATGAGGCTGGACCAAACCAAAAGGATGAAACAGTGACAATGGAAGGTGCTGGTCCTCTGCAGTTGCTGGTGTTCAGGTCCATCCTCTGAGTCTCACCACACCTCTAAAACAGCCAATTCATCTGATCTTTGAGCATGTCAGATTAAGTTTCACTCTAATTGCATAGAGCTGAATGTACATGCAACTACAATTCATTTTAGCTGTAACTTCACAAATACTGAATCTGGAAACATAATACTGGTACATTTGTTTCCTTTATCAATTTAAAATTTCACATTTGGTCTCCAGTAGACTTAAAAAAAAAAAACCACTAAAAATATTTCTTAAGACTATTCCTGAGCAATGTTTTTATGTACTGTAAAATACTCTAGTTTATTACTACATTTATTAATATTCTCACATTTTAAACTACATACAAATCCATGCTTTGAAATCTTACAAAGCTGAAGATCTGGTAGGCACAATGAAAGATAGAAACAGCTAAGCATCTTAAAACCAAGATGAGCTCAACAAGAGAAGTGCAATTCAGCTATATACATATTGTACTCTTTAGTGTTTGCTACTTTTTCATTTTCTCTTACAATGTGATGGATGCACTTGTAAATCTGATCCATCAGACCTCAGCTCACTTCTCATGAACACTGTGACTGAAGGCTGAGGATGAAGTTAATGCTGACCAGGATTTCATTTTAAAATCAAAGTACAAAACATTCTCTAGCTGCTGTGATTGTGAATTGGAACAGATGAACTGAGACTTGGATATTCTCTGAACTATCCTTCTCCTGTATCTCGCAGACACAAGAGCAGACAGAGGGGCTGAGGACAGGACCCAATCCTGGTTGTAGAGTTTCCCTCTGTAGGGTGTTTCCCTCTATCACCTCATTAAACCTTGGAACAAGAAGCCAAGGTAGACTGGGCCATGGGATAAATAATAGCCATCTTGAGTGACTGAAAATAGGTATCTTCTGTATCAAAATATATCTTTACTAGAACTTACAACAACCTTTACATCTTTCCCATAAGTCTATGTTTTATGCACTGAGAAGCTACCAGTTCTGCAAACCAGGCCACACAGCCTCTGTAATACCTTCATTCCCATTGCTCATACATATCCATGTGCAATTTCAATTTGGCCATTCCCTCGAAGTGACAAAAAGCATCAGGCCTTACAAAATGAACTTCCAGGAAAGCTGTCTGGAAACACAGTGAAGATTCCAGGGTATAAAAATACACATTCCATTTTCTTAATCTCTCACTATCGAAGCTGTCTGCTCCCTAGTAGGGGTTTTTTTTGTCTTAAAAAGAATCCTTTCTGCATTAAAATACTTCAAAACATTATCTCCATTCTTTTTCTTCTCAAAAAAATATCTATTTCATCAAAAAAATCCAATTCATCACGTTCTGTGAAGAATTAGAGTTGACTTTGCATAGATAACAGGCTCCATTATTTTGTAAAAACAGCTGAGCCTTTTCCATCAGAAAACACCACCAAACCTGCCTCACAAAACAGCAAGAAAATAGAGCATGGACTCAATTCCCTCAAATACACCACAGAAAGCACAAGGACCACCACAGGCTTCAACGGGTGCAAACAGGACTTTACACACTTCTCTACACTTCACACTGTGCTATTGTGGATTGAGCAATTGTGAGTATTTTTGAGGAAAGACCAATGGAAGACACTTGCCTTCAGGGAAAACATTTCCTGCTGGCCTTGCTGGCTTAAGATCAAATGGACAGAAAAGAACAGTGCTGAACCAATGCATCAGGAGTGTGTTTTCTCAGGAAGAAAACACGACCCTTCTGCACTGACCAAATGCTTCCTAGCAGTCAAGAAGCATCAACAGTTACTAATGACTCTTCCTTCACTTGAATTTACATGGGGTTTGCTTTGTGCCATTTGTTTTTATTTTCCTGTCCCCTGCTGGTTTTTTAGGAGGAACATAACTGTTGGTGTTGCCGTTTTTCTTTGGGTTCGCACACGCGTACGGTTTGAGGCCTTTGACGGGAGCAGCTGCACCGTGGAAACCTGGGCTTTGCTTGGGGGGTCTGATGTTCCCAACACTTTGGATTTTGGAGCTGTTCTCTGAAGGCTGCAGGTTGAGAAGCTGTTGCTTTGCAGCTGGTTTCTTTTTCAGCTCACTCCTGACCTCACCAGATTGTCTCTGCTGAGCTGCTGCACATCCCGTTCTCTCAGCCGGTTTCAAGCGAGCTGGGTGAGAACGCAACTGGCGACTTTCCTCGCAGTAGGGATCTCCCCTGTGCCCCAGACAGCTCCTGGGCAGCTTTGTCACGCTTTCCTGGGGAATCCCTTGCCTGTTAGGCACAGGGCTGAGCAATGCTTTGCCTTTGCCAGGGCTCTTCAGGCCCCGGCTGGAGCCAGGAGCAGTCTGGGGCCTGGCCCTGGCAGCCTTCCCCTTCTCGCTCTGCACAGTCTGCACCTGCAGCCACTCCAGCTGCAGCAGGCGATCCATGTACTTCTCCAGGAATCCTGTTGGCTTCGGTCGGAAGTCAGTCTTACCTTCAGCATGGACAAAGAGAGCCAACTGCTTCAAGTCCCAGGAGTTGAAAGGGGGTGGGAGGAAGTCCGGGTAGTAATATTCTGATTCTGTAAGTCCCATTTCAGGGACGTGTTCCAAACAAACTGGATCGATTTCTTCAGCTCTGAGGATGAGTTCTGGTGGTGTGCAGGGAGAGGGGGGAATGGGGATCCTTTCTGAATCAGAGAGGTCACTGGCACTGTCATCTTCAGCATCTTCTTTAATAATCTGTACTGATTCAAAATCAAGAAACATTTCACCTACGGACGTTTCTTGCCATTTAGAAGGACCTGGACTGGCTTCAGCAACGTGTTCTTCGTGATTCTTCTCCAACTGCTCTTTTTTACTGCAATAAAAATGTTGCATTGGGACATCTCTAACTCTACAGAAGGTTCCTTGTGTGCTGCCCTTTGTGCTAGGAGGGATCCTGTGCAGGAAAGATTCATTTTGCCTTCTTTCTGGGAGACTCCTCTTTGGTCCTTGTGCAGTGTGCAGTGAGGTGCAAACACTTGGGGGCCTAAATGAAAAGAAAGATCAAGTCCTGTTAGAATGGTTAATGTTTCTGAATGTCAAAGCTCTTGATACCCCGTTCAAGGACAGGGATCTACAGGACTGAAGATAAAATTGGCATGGAAACTTGGTAATGAGGCAAAATGAGTATTACTATTACAGATAACACTGCATACAACAGATTTTTTTTTGTTTATTTTATTTTTCTCTGATTTTGCCTGAGAACTCACTAAGGCAGGATAGTAAGTTTCCATATTGAGAACTTAAATTTGTTGTCCTGATAAATGCTGAACTCTGGGGCCACTCAAGTCACAAGCAAAACACAGCAGCCTTGACTTCATCACAAGCATTTCATATACCAGTTTGAAATTACTAAAACAGACAACACAAAACTACCTTTTGGACTGAGTATTGCCATCCAGCTGGTTTCTTCCCTTCTTATAAACACTTGGCTGGTTACCATCCTGAGTGTCATGGGAAATCTGAAGAGATATGAAAGTATGTGATGCTATTAAGAAGTTGACTTAAACTAAGGATCCTCTTTCTGTTAAACAAAAAAGGGATTATTTACCTTTTCAATGGCACTTGATACATTCTTGCCCAGTCTTCCAGGAGAGGATTTCACATAAGAAATTGGTTTATTTAGTCCTTTGGTGCTCGGATGGCTTTTTCCATTAGTATAACTAGCAAGGACGAAACGGAATATTAGATATAAATAGCAACATATATGAATGTAAGAATAGAAATACAGTCAAAGCTTAGTGTGCAATTCAGCTTAGATATGAGAGTTGATTGGAACTGTTCTTAGACTTAGAGTTCACCAGAACTATGCCATGGCCACTTTTTACTTTATTACTCCCCATGTACTACTGTATTTTAGTACTACTAATGCAAAAGCAAATAATTCTATCAGATGACATAATAACAGAACTTAGCCTGTATAAACAATCCTCTATCAGAGGATCTCAAAGGTACTCTGCAGATAACAAATAGTAAACATGAAAGATTAAATATTTAACTACTGATTTTTATAGTCCCTGATACATGCTCCTACTGCAATTTAACAAAACTAATTGCACTTTATTGTACTTTTTAAAGTACAATACAAAGGCCACTGCAAGCCAAATCTTGTCTTGCTCATTTGTATATTCTCAACAAAATTTAAAGGGTTATTCCTTTGAAGTTAAGGAGCAGAAGTGAGCAGGGAGCATAAAGTCTATTCTGATGTTAATACAAACTATTTCACAACATAGGCAAAAACAAAATCCCTATTTCATGTTACAATGGTTGTGGAAATACTAGTAGGAATAAAAACCCATCTGCAAGCAAAGGAATGAGATTACTGATCTGGGCAGCTTAAAACTAAATCCCCTATCTCAATTAAACCAGGTACATTTCTGTGCAAGCACACAAAATCAACAAAAATCAAGTGTGTTCTGTAAGGATCAGCAATCAGTGCTCTACAAACAAGAAATATTACTGCTTTTAAAAAGGCAAGTTTTAAAATACCATTTCAGAACAGGAATAAGCAAACTGTGCCCTCCCAGCCTAATCTATCTTGACTGCAGTTCAGTTCATTTGCCAGGCTGTACATCTTGTTTTCACAGTTTTTATGTCAGTACAGTTAGATTTTGTCTCAAACCCCACATGATTTCACTGGTTCAATAGCTTATAAAAGAATGAAACTAAGTCTTGTGCCTCCAGCAATGCTGCAGTCACCTCTGTGACTTTGCGACCTGCAGAATCATCCTGCACAATCATTTCTGCTGCTGTGGAGCAGGGGAGGGGAGGACAATCTGAGCAGCACAGCTTATCAACTCCTCTATGGCATTTAGAGATTTCTGTAACTACAAAGAGAGAAAATAATTTCCTTACTTTACCATTCCTTTGTGGTTTTCATTGGTGTGGCTTTCCTTGGGCTGTGTCTCTCTGTGCAGTAGTAATGGATATTCCTGAATGCCTGGTCCCATTATTCCTCCTTTCCAAGGCTGTCTGCACCTTCAGCTTTACATAATCTTCAGACGACTCCAGTCTTTCGGGTGTTTAAGGCACAGTGTATTGGACACAGACATCCTCACGTCCTACAATGCAGGAAACAAACAAAATCCTCCGGATGAGATTCTATTTTTAAAGCAGTGAGATAAATGTAATCAGCTACCAAACGGTACTGGAAAACACTGTCCTCTCCCCCAGCACTCGCTTAGTGGGAAGCAGCATCATTCCTTACACTCCCAATCCGGGGGAATACCTGAGGATACAGCAGGAGCTCCTGTGCTGTGTGTCATGTGCTCATCACCGCTGGGATTCGCCTGCGCAGTGCCATGTGCAGTCTGGAGCCAGTGGCACAGCCCCAGGGGGTGAGTGCTGCTGCTCTCAGTTCACCCAGAGCAGGTGATCAACCCCCTGAGCCTGTGCCTGCTCCTCTGTCCTTTTCGTGTCACTGAGCACGCTCTGCGGATACTCATGTATGCAAATTTCGCATCAAATATTTAATTATTTTCTTTTTCCAAAACAAATGCCTCGGCACTGGAAAATTCCTACAGAAAACACTCCGAGCAGGATCTGTAGCATTCCCTTACTTCCCAGAAGCTGCATTCCCACACCAGGGTACCGCACGGACCAAGTGGATGACCAACAGCTCTCCTGACCCATCGCTCGTTTTGTGGCAGTGCTTATGCATTCACACTCATCTTCATGTCCACATCTCTTTACATTTGAGCCTGTCCTATCTCCCAAACGCCTCCCCGGCCGAGGAGGGGGAACAGCCGCGGGCCCGGAGCGCTGCAGTCCCGCACGGATGGGCAGGGACAGACAAGAGCCAGCGGCAGGCAGGCCGTGCCCGCGGTGGGAGGCTGTGCCCGCCGGG